GATTTTAAATTCATGTTCTATTCAGTCTAGTTTTAGTGATACCTCGGAATTGTGTCGTGCTTGTATGCTTGGGAAATCCTCACGGTTTCCCTTGCCTCGTGTCAATACTACTACGTCTCATGTTTTAGAACTTATATATACTGATATTTGGGGCCCATCGCATTTTCTTTCCGTCAATGGCTTTCGTTATTTTGTTTTGTTTGTTGATGATTATACGCGCTATGTATGGTTTTATCCTATGCGTTTGAAAACTGATGTGTATGCTATCTTCGAGCAGTTTCGGTCACTAGTTGAGCGTTCATATGGTCGTAAGATTGTCTCTATTCAATCTGATTTAGGGGGAGAGTATAAACGGTTGCACCGTACTTTTGTCTCTTTGGGTATTAATCATAGGCAGTCTTATGCCTATACCCATGAGCAGAATGATAGAGTTGAGCGTCGGCATCGTCACGTTGTGGAAACGGGTTTGGCTCTCTTGGCCCAGGCTTCGGTTCCACAACGATATTGGGATTATGCCTTTGAGACTGCGGTCTATCTCATCAATAAGATGCCGACTCGGGTTTTGGATAATGATAGTCCTCATTCTCGGTTGCATCGTTCTAGTCCTTCTTACTCTTTCTTGCGTGTGTTTGGCTGTCTCTGTTATCCTCTGTTACGCCCGTATAATCGTAACAAGTTGCAGTATCGGTCTTCTCCGTGTGTGTTTCTTGGTTATCCGTCTTCGTTTCGTGGCTATCGTTGTTTTGATCCTGCTACTAACAAGGTATTCATTTGCCGTCATGTGCGGTTTGATGAAACCATATTTCCATTTGCTTCTTCTGTCCCCTCTCAGGTCTCTAGCTCTCGCCCGATTGAGCCGTGGGGTGTTGACGCCGTTCAGGTTGGCGCGAGCTCCGGTGTTTGTTCTGCTGGGCCGGATCCTCGTCCGGAGATGGACACGGATTCCGGGGCTGCTGGTGCTGCTTCTGATTCCCGCACCGAGACTGCCGTGGCTCCAGATGTGGCAGTCTCGGGTGCTCCTAAGGCGCCCAAGCGAGGTCGGCGCGCGGTAAAACCGGTTCCACCTCGGTCTCATGTTATGGCGACTCGTTCTTTGGGGCCGACGCAGCATGTGGCTCTTATGACTGTTTCTGAGCCGACCTGTTATTCTCAAGCAGTTCGGTATCCGGAATGGCGTGAGGCCATGGATCTTGAGTTTAATGCCTTGCTCCAGAATCACACTTGGCGTCGGTTAGTCACACACCTGGTATGAATGTTGTAGGCTGCAAATGGGTGTTCAGGACGAAGCGCAAGGCTGATGGCACGATTGAGCGGCACAAGGACAGGACTTTTTTGAGACCTTCAGTCCTGTTGTAAAACCCACAACCGTGCGGCTTCTTCTCTCCTTGGCTGTCTCTCGCGGTTGGGTAATTCGGCAGTTGGATGTTCACAACGCCTTTCTGAATGGTAATCTTGCAGAGACAGTCTACATGCGACAGCCGCTGGCTATGAGGACTCGTCACGACCGGATGATGTATGCTTATTACAGAGGTCACTCTATGGTCTTAAGCAGGCTCCTCGCGCATGGTTTAACAGGTTACATGTTTTCTTGGTGTCGGTTGGTTTTTCACCTTCAAAGACTGATGTCTCTTTATTCATATACACTCGTGACTCTGTATCTTTATATGTGCTTGTTTATGTGGATGATATCCTTGTTATGGGATCTGATGCTTCGCGTGTTACTCGGCTTCTGACTGACTTAGCCTCGGAGTTCAAGATTCGTGACATGGGTGCTCCGTCTTTTTTTCTGGGCATTGAGACGGTCTCTCGTGGTGATGGTTTGTTTCTTTCTCAGCAGCGATACATGCGAGATATCTTGAGCCGTGCAGGTGTGGTGGACTGCAAGCCGTTGGCTACTCCGGTGCCTGTGACTCGACCCGTTTCTGAATCTGTGGTTCCTTATGCCGATCCCACGCAGTATCGCAGTCTTGCTGGGGCTCTGCAGTATCTTACTGTCACTCGCCCGGATTTATCTTTTACTGTGAATCGGGTCTGTCAGCATATGCACTCCCCGACTACTGAGCATTGGGCAATGCTCAAACGTGTTCTGCGGTACGTTAAAGGCACTTTGCATTTTGGTCTGTTTATTCGCCCATCCTCCTCTGTTGCAGTGCATGCTTTTTCAGATTCGGACTGGGCTGGGGACCCCGCTGACAGAAAGTCTACTAGCGGCTTTGCGGTTTTTCTTGGTGACAATCTGATCTCTTGGTCTTGCCGGAAGCAACGTACGGTTGCTCGTTCGTCTACAGAGGCCGAGTACAAGGCACTAGCTGACGTGTCTGCTGAGGTCACCTGGTTGGTTTCTCTATTGCATGAACTTCGGTTGCCGTTGGCAGCTCCTCCCACTCTCTGGTGTGATAATCTGGGTGCAACTTATCTCTGTTCCAACCCGGTGTTCCATGCTCGTACGAAACATGTGGAAATTGACTATCACTTTGTTCGTGACAAAGTGGCAAAGAAAGAGTTGCAGGTTAGCTTCATTTCTACTAAGGATCAGCTGGCTGACGTGTTCACTAAAGCTCTCCCTGGTCCGCGTTTCTCTACTCTGTGTGGCAAGCTCAATGTTGTAGCTAGTCCACCTTGTGCTTGAGGGGGAGTATTAGGACTCTATTATTATTAGTATTCGTTACCTATTGTTACTAGTATTAGTCTTGTATTAGGTTTGCTATTCGCTACTATATATATTCCTGTACAGACTTATTATTTGATTCATTCAGAAATATTATATCCTCATCCTAATAATCCAAAATCAATGGTTTAATTATCTTTTGTACGTTCATTTTAATCGCTTTCAATATAAAACTACTTGTGAAACATATCACAAGTGACACATTCAAATATTATATACTAAAAAATGTAGCAATATAATTGATGCTATGGAGTTAGTGAGACATGATAGCTAGGCGCATAGAAAAGTGTGAAGAGACAAAAATGTCTTTACTAAAAATAAGAAAATGTATGAGAATGACTAAAAATGTTTAAAAATAATAATAATTTGTTAAATAGCAAAAATTAAAATCTAGGACTAAATTTAATCAAATTAAAGAAAGAAACTGGAAAAAAGAGGAAATTACGTTTCAAAAGAAAAATTGAGCTATTGAAAATTTAAAAATAAATAAAATTTAAATTCCCTCAACGGGGAGGGACCGAGGGACTGAGGGAGTCGGTCCTTTTATTTTATTAAAACTTTCTTTTTTTCAGTGATTCAAAATGTTAAATAAAAAATTAAAATAAGGGGCGACTTCAATTTTATTACCGTTGGAGTTTAGGGTTTCCTATTTCAAAATGTTAGATTTCAATTTCTTTGTTTTTTTCGTCAATTTCAGCCATGAAGCTAAGATTAGGGTTTCCTATTTCCAAGCAGTTTAAATTTCCTATTTCTTTGTTTTTTTGGCGTTCTCTCCCACCCCTCAAAATTCTCTCCGTCTCAAACACTACCCCGCCAATCCGCCTTCCGCCGGAAACAGGTACCGGAAGACGTCGAATTTCAGGTTAATGCCGGCCCCCTAGAGTAGGATTTGGAGGGTAAAAAAGTTGAAGCCATGAAGCTATGATTGGGGAGGCAAAGTCACTGATTTATTCCATTGTAAGTTGCTCTCTCTTGTGTGGTTATAATTTTTATTTTTTTCCGATTCTTTATTTTATACTAGTTTTGTGTATTTAGTTTTGTTTTAACTCTCTAGCAGCACCTCGTCAATGCTTTTCAAAAGAGTTAATTCCAGCAATGGTCCTCCGACTATGTTGATTTTCCACAATTGATCCCTGACTTTTAATTTGGACAATTTAGACACTTGACTTTCGAAATCTTTCCAATGTTAGTCCTTCCGTTAGTTGAAGGTTAAGTGAATGTTAGTTTGAGGGGTAAAGCAGTCATGCGACCAAGGAAGGTGAATTATACTCTAAGCAAGTGAAATGACTACTTTACCCCTCAAACTAACGTTGACTTAACTTTCAACTAACGGAAGGACCAACATTGGAAAGATTTTGAAAGTCAAGTGTCTAAATTGTCCAAATTAAAAGTCGAGGACCAATTGTGGAAAATCAACATAGTCCGAGGACCATTGTTGGAATTAACTCCTTTTCAAAATGTTGTTCTCCACTTTTACGGGCCCCACCTTATTTGCGATTTCAATTTCAATTATCAAACTAGAACACACCCCTATTTTTCCACGGATTTCCCCTTTGTGCCGTTCATTTTATTATTCTTTTGGCATATTTTTAGTTTGAATTGTGTATTTTCAAAGATCATTATTATAGTGCACTAAAAATAATTATTATGGTTGTTTCAGTTACAGCATCAACTACGAATGGCAAGCCTGAAGATGTCTTGAGTGTCTAAATTGTCCAAATTAAAAGTCGAGGACCAATTGTGGAAAATCAACATAGTCCGAGGACCATTGTTGGAATTAACTCCTTTTCAAAATGTTGCTCTCCACTTTTACGGGCCCCACCTTATTTGCGATTTCAATTTCAATTATCAAACTAGAACACACCCCTATTTTTCCACGGATTTCCCCTTTGTGCCGTTCATTTTATTATTCTTTTGGCATATTTTTAGTTTGAATTGTGTATTTTCAAAGATCATTATTATAGTGCACTAAAAATAATTATTATGGTTGTTTCAGTTACAGCATCAACTACGAATGGCAAGCCTGAAGATGTCTTGCAAAAGACAATTGATTCATCAAAGAAGCAAGTCCTAGATTTTGTTGGAATGGATGTTGCTGTAGCCCAATTTCGCATTGGATTCCTTGAGCGGACAGGCACGGTGCCTGTCGACTGTTAGCTGCAAAAGAGACCCAACGGGGAAAACTGGGCGTCTCTCCTAGATGGGGTTCGTAAGAACTCACATGAATAGTTTCATATTTGTTTCTACGTTTATTAATTTTTTTTATATTTGAGGTGAGATGTTAAAAGTTTGAAAAACTTACAAATTATAGAGTTTACCGTATGTACTTGTTTTTAAAGTACAGCGACAATTCGATCTAGTTTTTATATTACACGAGTGGGGTTTTGGAGAAATATAATTATACTTTTAATTAATGAAGTGAAAGTATGTCGATTGTATTTAGGAGGGGGAACCCAAAGTTCAAAGGTGCCCTATTTCGTCATATCTGATTACTTCTTCTAAATATCACTAGGAGGCTCGGTGAGCATATGATATCCGATCGAATGGGAAAGCGGTGTGCATGAATTCCACCTCTGGTATCCTCGATGCCTCCTTGCGGCATCTCTCCCTCTCAATGATGTTTCCCTCGCTAGCTTGGTTGTCCGGTGCCCGCCGAACTAGAACTATAAGTTTCCTTGAGTCGCATTCGAATGTCTTGGTGTGCCGTATCTAATCCCTCAACAGCTCGGCAACCCTCGCCTGTTCCTTTGCAGCAGGAAAACAGATTGTAAAAAAAAATAATCCCTAAAAATAAAAAATCAAAATAAAAATAGCGAAAACACACACAAAGACAAAATATACACAAAAAATAAAGAGGCACAAATATATTCAAACTAAAAAAAAAAAATAACGAAACGAAAAGTCAGAATAAAAATAGATAACATGGAAAAGAAAAACGCAACAGACCAAATATAACACTTGAAAAATGCTAAATTAAAGGAAAACAGAAGAGCAATCAAAAATAATAAAAAATATGCAAAAAGAAACGCTAACAAAAACAATAAACCGGTAAAAAGGGAGAAAATTAGTGCATGAGAAAAAAACACAAACAAAACAAAACGAAAAGAACTTCAAATCATCCAGAAACACATTCAAAGAAAAAATTAAGGAAAACAAATAATAAAAAATATGCAAAAAGCGAAAATTAGTGCATAGGAAAAAAACACACAAACAAAACAAAACGAAAAGTCCAAATCAACCCATGAAGTATTCAAAGAAAAACAGAACAAATAAAAAGCACAAATAAATGCATGAAAAACATTGAAAAAACCAAATATTTCAAAAATACTCTTTTAGAAAATAAACACCATTGAGAACCAAAAAAATATAAAGATAACGAAACGAAAAAAACTCCACACATTCAAAACATATACACAAATATACCAAATACACACATTTCAAGAACACATTGCACACAGGGAACACATTCAAAGCAAAAAATATCACCCAAAACTACACTCACACAGAAGAGATAAATATAACAAAGCAAAAATAGCACAAAAATGCAGACATAAAGGAAAAGAACCAACTACGCAAATGAACAAATGAACAATAAAAAGAAGAAATTATCTTTAGAAATACGCAATTCAAACTAAAAATACGCCAAAAGAACGCTAACAACAAAATATGAATAAATTATCTTTAGAAATACGCAATTCAAACTAAAATTACGCCAAAAGAACGCTAGCAACAAAATATGAACGGTAAAAAAGAAAATTAATACATGAAAAAAAAAATACACAAGCATTGAAAAGAAACATTTATGAACTTCAAACCAAAACGTTATGAACAAACTGAAATTATAAAATGATCAATGGAAATACACAATTCAAACTAAAATATGCTAACGAACAAAATGAACAGTAAAAAGAGAAAATATATGCATATGGACAAACAAAAAAAAACATGAAAAAATATAACGAAGCATCCAGACATAAAACGCAATAGACAAATATAACGAAGCAAAAATAACCCAAAACCTATAGAACTACACAATTAGGTGAAAAAAAAACAAAAAATACACATATACAACAAAATGAAAAGAACTCAGGAACACAAAGAAAAATGCAATGAACAAAAACAAAAGTCACAAATATAACAAAGCAAAAATAGCACAAAAATTCAGGGAAAACATAAAGTGAAAAAACCAAAAAACTACACAAATACGAAGCAAAAATATCACTCAAAAATAAAATAGAACACACACAAATATAATGAAACGAAAAGAGACTCCGAATAGAACACATTCAAAGAAAGAAAAATGTAATGGACAAAAAACAAAAGTCACAAATATAATAAAGACCAAAATATAAGTGCTAAAATTATAAAATGATCAATGGACATACACACTTCAAACTAAAAATATGCTAACGAACAAAAAGAACAGTAAAAAGAGAAAATCTATGCATATGGACAAACAAAAAAAAACATGCAAAAATATAACGAAGCATCCAGACATAAAACGCAATAGACAAATATAACGAAGCAAAAATAACCCAAAACTACATAAAATTATAAAATGATCTATAGAACTACACAATTCAAACTAAAAATACGCCAAATGAAAACAAACAAAAACAAAACACACAAATATAACAAAGCAAAAATAGCACAAAAATTCAGGGAAAACATAAAGTAAAAAAAAAAAAAATTAAAAACCTACACAAAAACACTTAAAAAATGCTATAAATTATGAAAAACAACCAAATAAATCAAAATAAAATTATCTTTAGAAAAAAAGAAAATTAATACATGGAAAAAAAATAAAAAATACACAAACAGCAAAAAGAAATCCAAAACATAAACGTTATGAACAATAACGAAGCAAAATATCACCCAAAACTACACAAGAACACTTAAAATGCTATAAATAAAAGAAAACGCAATAAATATGTCCTAACAAAAACAAAATGAAACGTAATAAAAGGGGGAAAATAATGCATGAAAAAAAAAACACACACACACACACAAATATATGAAACGAAAAGAACTCCAAAATATTCAAGAACACACACATTCAAAGAAAAATGTAATGGACAAAAAACAAGTCACAAATATAACAAAACAAATGCAGTAAAAACATAAAGAGAAAGAACCAAAAACTACACAAGAACACTTGAAAAATGTCATATTTATAAAAACAACCAAATAGATCTTTAGAAATACGCAATTCAAACAAAAAATACGCCAAAAGAACGCTAACAACAAAATATGAACGATAAAAAAGAAAATTAATACATGGAAAAAAAAACAAAAAATACACAAACAACGAAAAGAAATCCAAAACATTTAGGAACTTCAAAGCAAAACGTTATAAACAAACATAACGAAGCAAAAATATCACCCAAAACTAAACAAGAACACTTAAAATGCTATAAATAAACAAAAAATGTAATGGACAAAAAACAAAAGTCACAAATATAACAACAAAGCAAATGCAGTAAAAACATAAAGAGAAAGAACAAAAACTACACAAGAATACTTAAAAAATGCTATAAATTAAACTAAATACATCAAAATATAAGTGCTAAAATTATAAAATGATCAATGGAAATAAACAATTCAAACTAAAAATATGTTAACTGTAAAAAGAGGAAATTTATGCATATGGGCAAAAATATAACGAAGCAAAAATATAACGAAGCATCCAGACTAAAACACAAATATAACGAAGCAAAAATAACCCAAAACTACTCAAAATTATAAAATGATCTAGAACTACACAATTCAAACAAAAAATACGCTAAAAGAAAGCTAACAAAAACAAAATAAATAGTAAAAGGTGAAAATTACTGCATAGGAAAAAAAACAAAAAATACACAAATATAACAAAACGAAAAGAACTCCAAGATATTCAGGAACACAAAGAAAAACACAATGAACAAAAATAAAAGTCACAAATATAACAAAGCAAAAATAGCACAAAAATTCAGAAAAAACATAAAGTGAAAAAACCAAAAAATTACACAAAAACACTTAAAAAATGCTATAGATTATGAAAAATAATCAAATACATCATAAACACTCCTTAGTATACAAGTACTAAAATTATAAAATAATCATAGAAAATACACAATTCAAACTAAAAAGAGAACAAAAAATCCACAATATAAAGAACACTAACGAACAAAGTGAATGGTAAAAAGAGAACAAAAAATCCAAAAATATAACGAAGCGAAAAAAAACAACAAAACATTCACGATTTAGAAACACATTCAAAGCAAAACGTAATAGACAAATATAACGAAGCAAAAATAACACAAAACTACACAAAATTATAAAGTGATTTATAGAACTACACAATTCAAACAAAAAATACATCGAAAGAACGCTAACAAAAACAAAATGAACAGTAAAAGGAGGAGATTAATGCATGGGAAAAAAATAAAAAACACCGAAATATAACGAAACGAAAAGAACTTCAAGACATTCAAGAACACATTCAAACAAAAATGCAATGGACAAAAACAAAAGACACAAATATAACAAAACAAAAATAGCACAAAAATGCAAGGAAAACATAAAGAGAAAGAACCAACTACGCAAATGAAAATTTCAAAAATATGACGAAGCGAAAAGAACTCAAGGCATTTCGGAACACATTCAAAAATTACACAAGAACACTTGAAAAATGCTATTAAATTAAAAAAAATAGTGAATAGGTCATAAATACTCATAAAATAAATTTAATGTTCTAATGTTCCAAATAAAATTATCTTTAGAAATACGCAATTCAAACTAAAAATACGCAAAAAGAACGCTAACAACAAAATATGAACGGGGCAAAAAAGAAAATTAATACATGAAAAAAAAACAAAAAATACACAAAAGAAAAGAAATCCAAAACATTCAGGAACTTCAAAGCAAAATGCTATGAACAAACATAACGAAGCAAAAATATCACCCATAACTACACAAGAACACTTAAAATAAATATGTCCTAACAAAAACAAATTGAACAGTAAATAAAAGAGGGAAATTAATGCATGAAAAAATAAAACACACAAATATAACGAAACGAAAAGAACTCCAAAATATTCAAGAGCACATTCAAAGAAAAATGTAATGAACAAAAAACGAAAGTCACAAATATAACAAAGCAAATACAGTAAAAACATAAAGAGAAAGAACCAAAAACTACACAAGAACACTTAAAAAATGCTATAAATAGGGAAACAACTAAATACATCATAAATACTTGGTAGTAAACAAATGAATGTTATTTATAAAAAAATATAAGTGATAAAATTATAAAATGATCAATGGAAATACACAATTCAAACTAACAATATGCTAACGAACAAAATGAACAGTAAAAAGAGAAAATTTATGCATATGAACAGTAAAAAGAAAAAACATGCAAAAATATAACGAAGCAACAAGACATAAAATGCAATAGACAAATATAACAAAGCAAAAATAACCCAAAACTACACAAAATTATAAAATGATCTATAGAACTACACAATTCAAACAAAAAATACGTCGAAGGAAAGCTAACAAAAACAAAATAAATAGTAAAAGGTGAAAATTACTGCATGGGAAAAAAACAAAAAATACACAAACATAACAAAACGAAAATAACTCAAAGACATTCAGGAACACAAAGAAAAACGCAATGAACAAAAACAAAAGTCACAAACATAACAAAGCAAAAATAGCACAGAAATCCAGGGAAAATATAAAGTTAAAAAACCAAAAAACTACACAAGAACACTTAAAAAATGCTATAGATTATGAAAAACAACCAAATACATCATAAACACTCCTTAGTATATATAAGTACTAAAATTATAAAATGATCATAAAAAATACACAATTCAAACTAAAAATATGTCAAAAGAACACTAACGAACAAAGTGAACGGTAAAAAGAGAAAACTTATGCATGCGAAAAAACAAAAAATGCACAAATATAACAAAGCGAAAAGAACTACAAAACATTCAAGATTTAGGAACACATTCAAAGCAAAATGTAATGGACAAATATAACAAAGCGAAAATAACACAAAACTACACAAAATTATAAAGCGAACTATATAACTACACAATTCAAACAAAAAAATACATAAATGAACAGTAAAAGGAGAAAATTAATGCATGGGAAAAAATGAAAATACACAAATATAACGAAACTAAAAGAACTCCAAGACATTCAAACAAAAATGCAATGGACAAAAACAAAAGTCACAAATATAACAAAGCAAAAATAGCACAAAAATGCAAGGAAAACATGTGTATGTAATTTGTAAAGCATACCATCATATATACAAATACACAATCATATGTATTCCCCTTCCCTTTCTTCCCAGTCCAAAACAAAACAAACACAGAAAAAATAAAAACTTAGAAAGGGAGATAAGAAACCAAAAATTTACCTGCTCACTGCAATCCTTCTCAACCTTCCCTTATTCCTAGCAATGCTTGATGTGAATATCCTCAAGCTATGTATTCTGTTCTAGTCGAAAAATTGTTAGATAAATGCAATTGAAATCCCTAATAAGGTACTGGATAATCTATTTATATTGGAAGAGTTGGGAGCAACATGTTGAAAAGCTTGATAAGAAACCAAAAAATTTACCTGCTCACTGCAATCCTTCTCAACCTTCCCTTATTCCTAGCAATGCTTGATGTGAATATCCTCAAGCTATGTATTCTGTTCTAGTCGAAAAATTGTTATATAAATGCAATTGAAATCCCTAATAAGGTACTGGATAATCTATTTATATTGGAAGAGTTGGGAGCAACATGTTGAAAAGCATTTACAAAGCCGATTTGATACCTTGTGGTTAGGTGCTAAGGTCAGCCCTGATACGTGGTGGTTGCTAATGTGATGGTTGATGGCAGATCCTCCTTGCGTAGATATTAAGCCTCTGTGAAAAGAGTGATCGAGAACAAACCTACAATACTTGAATTTTCAGGTTAGTAAAACTGTAAAAGTGCATTATAACTCCATCACGGAGTATTAAGAGAATACAAATATAGAAGAAACTAATCATGATGAGAAACAGTGTATAGACATTCTCTTGGGGCAATTAAATCAATTATTTTACCTGTCATAAGGTGGGTAATTTCTTTTCTTTACACTGCAGTTTATGGCTTCATCTTTCAATCAGCCCACTTTAACTTTCACTTTTCCTCTTTGTTGAGCTTTATTTTCAGCAAATGCATTCATTCGTCTCTGAAATGGAAAAAATATTTACAGTGTACTCAATTATAGATTCATGGCTGCAACATTTTTACCCTCCAAATTCAATGTCCTACGGTGGCCCATTTCCGGCGAAAGGCGGATTGGCGCGGGAAAGTGTTCGAGATGGAGAGAACGCCAAAACTCATTCGGTAATTAAGGAAAATAGACTAAATACGTCGAAAATACTCAGAAAATTAAAAAAAAAAAATCACTATTCCTAATAAAAATACCTTCAAAATTTACAAGTACTAAATTATAAAATGATCTTTGACAAAAGACAACTCAAACTAAAAATATGCAAAAAGAAAGCTAACAACAACAAAAAAAAATGAACGGTAAAAAGGAGTAATTAATGCATGGGAAAAATAAAAAATACACATAACAAAAAGAACTCCAAGATATTCAGGAACACAATAAAAGAAAAACGCTACGGACAAATATAACTAAAAGAAAATAAACCAAAACTACAAAAGTGCTATAAATTAAAGAAAACAGACTAACAACCTCGAAATTAATCCATCTTTAAAAAATAAATAAAATAATTCACTATTCCTATTAGTAATACCTTTAAAAGTTATGTACTGAATTTCAAAACAATATTTGGAACTACCCAATTCAAACAAAAAATATATGACAAAAAGAACGCTAAAACAATGAACGGTAAAAAGATAAATTAATACATGGAGAAAAAACACACAAATATAACAAAACGAAAAGAACTCCAAGATATTCAGGAATGCATTCAAAGAAAACAAAACGAACAAAATCAAAAGCACAAATAAAGAGAAATCCAAAAACTACACAATAACACTCCAAAAATGCTATAAATTCGAAAATACTCACTGGAAAATAAAAATACATTGAAAAAAAAACACATATATAACAAAACGAAAAGAACTCCCAAAACATTCACGAACACATTCAAAAGATACAGACAAATATAACCAAACAAAGAGAACACCAAGAAATTCAGGAACACATTGAATAATAAACACAACGAAAAATAAAAAGGTACAAATATATCAAAATGAAAATAATCCAAAAAATGCATAACAGAAAACTACACAAGAACACTTGAAAAAAATGCTATAAATTAAAAAGAAAACATACTTACTAAACACGTCAAAAATACACCTTATAAAATAAAAGAATTCACTATTCCTAATACAAATGATCTTTAGAAATACACAATTCAAACTAAAAATACGCCAAATGAATGCTAACAACAAAATATGAACGGTAAAAAGGGAAATTAATGCATGGAAAAAAAAAACAAAAAATACACAAACATAACAAAGCAAAAAAAAAAAAAAAACATTCAGGAACACATTCAAAGCAAAACGTAATGGACAAACATAACGAAGCAAAAATGTCATCCAAAATTACACAAGAACACTTGAAAAATGCTATAAATAAAGTAAAACGCACTAAATACATCCTAACAAAAACAAAATGAACAACAATTAAAAGGAGAAAATTAATGCATGGAAAAAATAAAAAACTCACAAATATAACAAAACGAAAAGAACTCCAAGACATTCAAGAACACATTCAAAGAAAAATGCAATGGACAAAAACAAAAGTCACAAATATAACACAAAAATGCAAGAAAAACATAAAGAGAGAGAACCAAAAACTACACAAGAACACTTGAAAAATGCTATAAAAGAACTCCCAAGAAATTCACGAACACATTCAAAAGATACACACAAATATAACCAAACAAAGAGAACACCAAGAAATTCAGGAAGACATTGAATAAAAAACACAACGAAAAATAAAAAGGTACAAATATATCAAAATGAAAATAACCCAAAAAATGCATAACTAAAAACTACACAACAACACTTGGAAAAAATGCTATAAATTAAAAAGAAAACATACTAACTAAACATGTCAAAAATACTCCTTGAAATAAAAGAATTCACTATTCCTAATACAAATGATCTTAAGAAATACACAATTCAAACTAAAAATACGCAAAAAGAATGCAAACAACAAAATATGAACGGTAAAAAGGGAAATTAATGCATGGAAAAAAAAAAACAAAAAATACACAAACATAACAAAGCAAAAAAAAAAAAAAAAAAAAAAAAACATTTAGGAACACATTCAAAGCAAAACGTAATGGACAAACATAACGAAGCAAAAATGTCATCCAAAATTACACAAGAACACTTGAAAAATGCTATAAATAAAGGAAAACGCACTAAATACATCCTAACAAAAACAAAATGAACAACAATAAAAGGGAAAAATTAATGCATAGAAAAAACAAAAAACATACAAATATAACAAAACGAAAAGAACTCCACATTCAAAGAAAAATGCAATGGACAAAAACAAATGTCACAAATATAACACAAAAATTGCAAGAAAAACATAAAGCGAGAGAACAAAAAATTACACAAGAACACTTGAAAAATGCTATAAAAGAACTCCCTAGACATTCACGAACACATTCAAAAAATACACACAAATATAACCAAACAAAGAGAACACTAAGAAATTCAGGAACACATTGAATAAAAAACACACCAAAAAATAAAAAGGTACAAATATATCAAAATGAAAATAACCCAAAAAATGCATAATTAAAAACTACACAAAAACACTTTTAAAAAATGCTATAAATTAAAAAGAAAACATACTAAACACGTCAAAAATACTCCTTATAAAATAAAAACATTCACTATTCCTAATACAAATGATCTTTAGAAATACACAATTCAAACTAAAAATATGCCAAAAGAATGCTAACAACAAAATATGAACGATAAAAAGGGAAATTAATGCATGGAAAAAAAATACACAAACATAACAAAGCAATAAAAAAAAAAAACATTCAGGAACACATTCAAAGCAAAACGTAATGGACAAACATAACGAAGCAAAAATGTCACCCAAAATTACACAAGAACACTTGAAAAATGCTATAAATAAAGGAAAACGCACTAAATACATCCTAACAAAAACAAAATGAACAACAATTAAAAGGAGAAAATTAATGCATGGAAAAAAACAAAAAACTCACAAATATAACAAAACGAAAAGAACTCTAAGACATTCAAGAACACATTCAAAAAAAATGCAATGGACAAAAACAAAAGTCACAAATATAACACAAAAGTGCAAGAAAAACATAAAGAGAGAGAACCAAAAATTACACAATAACACTTGAAAAACGCTATAAAAGAACTCCCAAGACATTCACGAGCACATTCAAAAGATACACACAAATACAACTAAACAAAGAGAACACCAAGAAATTCAGGAACACATTGAATAAAAAAACAACGAAAAATAACAAAGCAAAAATAGCCCATAAATACATCATCAATACTCCTTAGTAAATAAATGAATTCACTAAAATTATCACTTGTTATCATTCGGTTTACACAATTCAAACAAAAAATACGCCGAAAGAACACAAACAAAAACAAAATAAACAGTAAAAGGGGTAAATTAATGCATGGGAAAAAACAAAAAACACACAAATATAACGAAATGAAAAGAACTACAAAACATTCATGAACACATTCAAAGAAAAACACAGTGGACAAAAACAAAAATTATAAATATAACAAAGCAAAAATAGCACAAAAATACAAGAAAAACACATGTATGTAAAGCATACATCATATACAAATACACAATCAATTGGATTGAAGAAAACACCTCTTTAAGTCACCTATTCCACTACCCCTTATTCCCAGTCCAAAACAAAACAAACGCAGAAAAAATAAAAACTTAGAAAGGGCGATAAGAAATCGAAAAATTTACCTGCTTAGTCCCATCCTTCTCAACCTTCCCTATTACAAACAATGCTTGATGTGAATATCCTCGAGCTACGGATACTCTGTTCTAATCGGTAAATTGTTAGATAAATGAAATTAAAATCCCTAATAAGCTAGTGAAGTATTCTATTTATATTGGAGGAGTGGAGAGAAACATGTTGAAAAGCATTTACAAAGCAGATGTGGTACCTTGTAGTTAGGTGTTCAGCCCAGTCCTGTTACGTGGTGGTTGCTAATGTGATAGTTGATAGCGGATCTAACTTCTTACACTAACAGTGTTCAACCTGAGAAAAGACCTGCAATACTTAAATTGCACTATGACCCGTCAAAGAGTATTTAAGAGAATACAAATATAAAAGAAACTAATCATGAAGAGGAACCACTATAGGCATTCTCAATTATTTTACCTGTCAGAAGGTGGGTAATTTCTTTCTTTACACTGCAGTTATGGCTTCATCTTTCAATGAGTCCACTTTACCTTTCACTTTTCCTCTTTGTTGAGCTTTATTTTCAGCAAATACATTCATTTGTCTCTGAAATGGAAAAAAAATTGCAGTGTACTCAATTAAAAGATAACCACACAAGAGAGAGCAACTCACAACGGAATAAAAACCAGCGACTGTTCTCCCCCAATCATAGATTCATGGCTGCAACATTTTTACCCTCCAAATCATACTTCAGGGTGCCGGCATTTAACTGGACAAAAACAACGAAAAGAAAATAAACCAGAATTACACAAGAACACTTAAAAAGTGCTATAAATTAAGAAAAACAGACTAACAACACCGAAATTAATCCTTAGTAAATAAAAGAATTCATTATTCCTAATGAAAATACCTTAAAAAGTTATTTACTGAATTTCAAAACAATATTTGGAACTACCCAATTCAAACAAAAAATATGCCGAAAGAACGCTAACAAAAACAATGAACAACGTTGAAATTAATCCTTAGAAAATAAAAGAATTTACTATTCCTAATGAAAACACCTTTAAAACATATTTACTGAATTTCAAAACGATATTTGCCCAATTCAAACAAAAAATATGTCAAAAGAACGCTAACAAAAACAATGAACGGTAAAAAGGAAAAATTAATACATGAGAAAAAAACCACACAAATATAACAAAACGAAAAGAACTCCAAGACATCCAGGTACACATTCAAAGAAAAACAGAACGAACAAAAACAAAAGCACAAACATAATGAAGCGAGAATAACCCATAAATGCATGAAAGAAATAAAGAGAAAATAAAAAACTACACAATCACACTCAAAAAATGCTATAAATTAAGTGAAACAAACTAAATATTTCAAAAATACTCCTTAGAAAATAAACATATTGGAAAAAAAACACAAATATAATGAAACGAAAAAAACTCGAAGACATCCAGGAACACATTCAAAAAATACACACAAATATAACCAAACAAAGAGAACTCCAAGACATCCAAACAAAGAGAACTCCAAGATATCCAGGAACACATTCAAAGAAAAACAGAACGAACAAAATCAAAAACACAAATAAAATGAAGCGAGAATAACCCATAAATGCATGAAAGACATAAAAAGAAAATCAAAAGCTACACAACACTCAAAAAATGCTATAAATTAAGAGAAACTAAATATTTCAAAAATATTCCTTAGAAAATAAACACATTGGAAAAAAAAAAAACACAAATATAATAAAACGAAAAGAACTCCAAGACATCCAGGAACAAATTCAAAAAATACACATAAATATAACCAAACAAAGAGAACTTCAAGACTTCCAGGAACGCATTCAAAGAAAAACAGAACGAACAAAATCATAAGCACAAATATAATGAAGCGAAAATAACCCATAAATGCATGCAAGACATAAAGAGAATATCAAAAACTACACAATAACACTCAAAAAAATGCTATAAATAAAGAGAAACAAACTAAATATTTCAAAAATACTCCTTAGAAAATAAACACATTGGAAAAAAAAAACACAAATATAATGAAACGAATAAAACTCCAATACATCCAGGAACACATTCAAAAAATACACACAAATTTTAACAAAACAAAGAGAACTCCAAAGACTTCCAAGAACACATTCAAAGAAAAACAGAACGAACAAAATCATAAGCACAAATATAATGAAGCGAGAGTAACCCATAAATGCATGCAAGACATAAAGAGAATAACACAAATTTTAACAAAACAAAGAGAAAACTCCAAGACTTCCAGGAACACATTCAAAGAAAAACAGAACGAACAAAATCATAAGCACAAATATAATGCAGCGAAAATAACCCATAAATGCATGCAAGACATAAAGAGAATATCAAAAACTACACAATAACACTCAAAAAATGCTATAAATAAAGAGAAACAAACTAAATATTTCAAAAATTCTCCTTAGAAAATAAACACATTGGAAAAAAAAACACAAATATTCAAAAACACACAAATTTTAACAAAACAAAGAGAACTCCCAAGAAACTCAAGAACACATTGAATGAAAAACACAACAGACAAAAACAAAAGGCTTCAAATATATCAAGGAACCAAAAACTAAACAAGAACACTTGAAAAATGCTATAAATTAAAGAAAACATACTAAATACGTCAACAATACTGCTTATAAAATAAAAGAATTCACTATTCCTAATAAAAAAGATCTTTAGATATGCGCAATTCAAACTAAAAAAATACGTCAAAAGAACGCTAACAACAAAAAATATGAACGGTAAAAAAAGAAAATTAGTGCGTGGAAAAAAAAAAACAAAAAATACATAAACATAACGAAGCGAAAATAACTTACAAGGAACACATTCAAAGCAAAACGTCATGAACAAAGATAACGAAGCAAAAATATCACCCAAAACTACACAAGAATACTTGAAAAAGGCTATAAATAAAAAAAAAAAAAAACGCACTAAATACGTCATAACAAAAACAAAATAAACAGTAAAAGGAGAAAATTAATGCAAACAAAAAACACACAAATATAACGAAACGAAAAGAACTCCCAAGACATTCAGAAACACATTCTAAGAAAAATCCAATGGACAAAAACAAGTCACAAATATAACAAAGCAAAAACAGCACAAAAATGCAAGAAAAACATAAAGAGAAAGAACCAAAAACTACACAAGAACATTTGAAAAATGCTATAAACTAAGGAAAACAACTAAATACATCATAGAAACTCTTAGTAAAATGATCATTTTGAAAATACACATTTCAAACTATAAATATGCCAAAAGAACGCAAACGAACAAAATGAGCGGTAAAAAGAGGGAATTTATGCATGGTAAAAAACAAAAAATGCAAAATATAACAAAGCGAAAAGAACTTCAAGACATTCAAGAACACATTCAAAGCAAAACGCAACAGACAAATATAACAAAGTATAAATAATTCAAAACTACACAAGAACACTTGAAAATGCTATAAATTAAAGAAAACATATAATATAAATATTTAATTATAAAACGATTTATAGAACTACACATTTCGAACAAAAAATACGCCGAAAGAACGCTAAAAATGAAAAGTAAAAGGGGAAAAATTAATGCATGGTAAAGAACAAGACATTCAGGAACACATTCAAAGAAAAACGCAATGGACAAAACAAGTCACAAACATAACAAATCGAAAATAGCACAGAAATGCAAAGAAAACATAAAACAGTAAAAGGGGGGAAAATTAATGCATGGTAAAAAACAAGACATTCAGGAACACATTCAAAGAAAAACGCAATGGAAAAAACAAGTCACAAACATAACATATCGAAAATAGCACATAAATGCAAAGAAAACATAAAGCGAAAGAATCAAAAAATACACAAGAACACTTGAAAACATACTAAATACGTCGAAAACACTCCATTCAAAATAAAAAGTATTTAAAAAATATAAGTGTATGGAATGTTCATGTTGATGATTATTATTATTTTCAATAACAACCAATGATAATTAATAGAATCTAGCCCTATACAACAAACATCAAAGATTACTACCATGATCTTCTTACCAAATAGAAGTTCAAATTCATTAATCAAGGAGAATTAATGAGAGAAGGTCATTTACCTGTTGTATTCTATATCAAATTGTAATTCCTCAAGCTCTCTATTTTTACCTCCCACTTAACCTTCACTTCAACCTGATCAATTATGTAAGTAAAGCAAAACATCATATACATATACAAATACACAATCAATTGGATTGAACTTACCTCTTAAGTGACCTATTCCACTACCACTTCTTCCCGGTCCAAAACAAAACAAACACAGAAAAAATAATAAAGGGAGATAAGAAAAAAATGGAGATAAGAAAGCGAAAAAATATACCTGCTTACTCCAATCCTTCTCAACCTTCGCTTATTCCAAACAATGCTTGATGTGAATATCCCCGAGCTAGGGATATACTCTGTTCTAGTCGGTAAATTGTTAGATAAATGAAATTGAAATCCCTAATAAGCTAATGGAGTATTCTATTTATATTGGAAGAGTGCGGAGCAACATGTTCAAAAGCATTAAAAAGGCGATGTGATACATTGTGGTTTGGTGCTCAGGTCAGCCCTGTTACGTGGCGGTTGCTAGTGTGATGGTTGAGATCTAACTTCTTACACTAACAGTGTTCAACCTCCATGTGGATATTAAACCTCTGTGAAAAGAGTGATCGAGAACAAACCTACACAATACTTGAATTTTCAGGTTAGTAAAACTGTAAAAGTACACTATAACCCCATCACGAGTATTAAGAAAATACAAATATAGAAGAAACTAATCATTTTTACCCTCCAAATGCTACTTTAGCCTTTAATACAACCTGATCAATTATATAAAGCAGAACATCATATACTATATGCAATCAACTGGATTTAAGAAAACACCTATTTAAGTGACCTATTCCACTGCCCCTTCTTTCCCAGCCCAAAACAAAACAAACACAGAAAAATAATAACTTATAAACCAGGATAACAAACCACAACATTTAACTGCTTACCCCAATCCTTCTCAACCTCAAGCTAGGGATTCTCTGTTCTAGTTGGTCAAGTACAGTTTAGTGCTGGTTCCTAATGTGATGGTTGGTTGAATGATGACCGATCTAACTTCTTACACTAACAACGTTCAACCTCCTTGTCTAGATATTAAACCTCCTACAATACTTGAATTTTCAAGTTAGTAAAAGTGCATAATTCACTATAACCCCATCACGAAGTATTATGACAAAATAAATAAATTTGTAAGAGAATACAAATAGAGATGTTAATCATGAAGAGGAACAGTGTATAGGCAATTCTCTTGGGCCAATTAATCAATTACTTTATCAGTCAGAAGGTGGGTAATTTCTTTCTTTACATTGAAGTTTATTGCTTTATCTTCATGAGTCCACTCTGCCTTTCACTTTTCCTCTTTGTTGAGCTTTATTTTCAGCAAATGCATTCATTCGTCTCTAAAATGGGGGGAAAAAATTGCAGTGTACTCAATTAAAAGATAACCACACAAGAGAGAGCAACTCACAAAATGGAACAAACAAGTGATTCTATATCCCCCCAATCATAGATTCATGGCTACAACATTTTTACCCTCCAAATCCTACTTTAGGGTGCCGCGGCATTAACCTGAAATTCTATTATCTGGAATGTTCGAGTTCATTTTTATTTTCAATAACCATAAATCATAGAGAATTAATGAGAGAAGGTCATTTACCTGTTATATTCTTATCAGTTTGTAGTTCCTCAAGCTCTCTAGTTTTAGTTCCTCAAGCTCTCTATTTTTACCTACCAACCTTCACTTCAACCTGATCAATTATGTATGTAAAGCATAACATCATATACAAATACACAATCAATTGGATTGAACAAAACACCTCTCAAGTGAGACCTATTCCACTACCCCTTCTTCCCGGTCGAAAACAAAAACAAAAACAAACACAAAAATAATAATAACTTATAAAGGGAGATAAGAAACCGAAAAATTTACCTGCTTAGTCCAATCCTTCTCAACCTTCCTTTATTCCAAACAATGCTTGATGTGAATATCCTCGAGCTAGGGATATACTCTGTTCTAGTCGGTAAATTGATAGATAAATGAAATTGAAACCCCTAATAAGCTAATGGAGTATTCTATTTATATTGGAAGAGTGAGGACCAACATGTTCAAAAGCATTTAAAAAGTCAATGTGATACCTTGTGGTTAGGTGCTCAGGTCAGCACTGTTACGTGGTGGTTGCCAGTGTGATGGTTGGTTGATGGCAGATCTAATTTCTTACACTAACAGTGTTCAACCTCCATGTAGATATTAAATCTCTGTGAAAAGAGTGATCGAGAACAGACCTACACAATACTTGAATTTTCAGGTTAGTAGAACTGTAAAAGTGCACTATAACCCCATCAGGGAGTATTAATAGAGAATACAAATAAACTAATCATGATGAGGAACAGTGTATAGGCATTCTCTTGGGGCAATTAATCAATTATTTTACCTGTCAGAAGGTTAGTAAAACTGTAAAAGTGCACTATAACCCCATCACGGAGTATTAATAGAGAATACAAATAAACTAATCATGATGAGGAACAGTGTATAGGCATTCTCTTGGGGCAATTAATCAATAATTTTACCTGTCAGAAGGTGAGTAATTTCTTTCTTTACACTGAAGTTTATGGCTTCATCTTTCATTGAGTCCACTTAATCTTTCAGTTAACCACAAGAGAGAGCAACTCACAATGGAACAAACCAGTGACTCTGCCTCCCCCAACCATAGAGCTTCATGGCTGCAACATTTTTATCTTCCAAATCCAACTTAGGCCTTTAATACAACCTGATCAATTATATAAAGCAGAATATCATATACAAATATGCAATCAACTGGATTTAAGAAAACACCTATTTAAGTGACCTATTCCACTGCCCCTTCTTTCCCAGCCCAAAATAAAACAAACACAGAAAAATAATAACTTATAAAGCAGGATAAGAAACCACAACATTTAACTATTTACCCCATCCTTCTCAACCTCAAGGCTAGGGATTCTCTGTTGTAGTTGGTCAGTACAGTTTAGTGCTGGGAAAAAAACAAAAAACACACAAATATAACGAAATGAAAAGAACTACAAAACATTCATGAACACATTAAAAGAAAAACACAGTGGACAAAAACAAAAATCACAAATATAACAAAGCAAAAATAGCACAAAAATACAAGGAAAACATATGTATGTAAAGCATAACATCATATACAAATACACAATCAATTGGATTGAAGAAAACACCTCTTAAGTGACCTATTCTGCTACCCCTTCTTCCCAGTCCAAAACAAAACAAACACAGAAAAAATAAAAACTTAGGAAGGGCGATAAGAAATCGAAAAATTTACCTGCTTACTCCCATCCTTCTCAACCTTTCCTTGTTCCAAACAATGCTTAATGTGATTATCGTCGAGCTACGGATACTCTGTTCTAGTCGGTAAATTGTTAGATAAATGAAATTGAAATCCCTAATAAGCTAGTGAAGTATTCTATTTATATTGGAAGAGTGGAGAGAAACATGTTGAAAAGCCAATGTGGTACCTTGTGGTTAGGTGCTCAACCCAGTCCTGTTACTTGGTGGTTGCTAATGTGATGGTTGATAGCGGATCTAACTTCTTACACTAACAGTGTTCAACCTTTGAGAAAAGACCAACAATACTTGAATTTTCAGGTTAGTAAAACTGTAAACACTATAACCCCATCACGGAGTATTAAGAGAATACAAATATAGAAGAAACTAATCATGAAGAGGAACCACTATAGGCATTCTCAATTATTTTACCTGTCAGAAGGTGGGTAATTTCTTTCTTTACACTGCAGTTATGGCTTCATCTTTCAATGGGAATCCACTTTACCTTTCACTTTTCCTCTTTGTTGAGCTTTATTTTCAGCAAATGCATTCATTTGTCTCTGAAATGGAAAAAAAATTGCAGTGTACTCAATTAAAAGATAACCACACAAGAGAGAGTAACTAACAACAGAATAAAAACAAGCGACTGTTCTCCCCCAATTATAGATTCATTGATGCAACATTTTTACCCTCCATATCCTACTTTAGGGTGCCGGCATTAACCGGACAAAAACAACGAAAAGAAAATAAACAAGAATTACACAAGAACACTTGAAAACAGACTAACAACATCTAAATTAATCCTTAGTAAATAAAAGAATTCACTATTCCTAATGGAAATACCTTTAAAAGTTATTTACTGAATTGCAAAACAATATTTGGAACTACCCAATCCAAGACATCCAGGAACACATTCAAATTCAAAAAATACACACAAATTTTAACCAAACAAACAGAACTCCCAAGAAATTCAAGAACACATTGAATGAAGAACACAACGGACAAAAACAAAAGGCTTCAAATACATCAAAACAAATATCACCCAAAAAATGCAAGGAACCAAAAACTACACAAGAACACTTGAAAAATGCTATAAATTAAAGAAAACATACTAAATACGTCAAAAATACTGCTTATAAAATAAAAGAATTCACTAACCCTAATAAAAATGATCTTTAGAAATGCGCAATTCAAACTACAAATACGCCAAAAGAACGCTAACAACAAAAAATATGAACGGTAAAAAAGGGAAATTAATGCATAGAAAAAAAAAATAAACAAAAAATAAACAAACATAACGAAGCGAAAATAACTTACAAGGAACACATTCAAAGCAAAACGTCATGGACAAAGATAACAAAGCAAAAATATCACCCAAAACTACACAAGAACCCTTGAAAAATGCTATAAATAAAGGAAAACGCACTAAATACGTCATTACAAAAACAAAATGAACAGTAGAAGGGGTAAATTAATGCAAACAAAAAACACACAAATATAACGAAACGAAAAGAATTCCCAAGACATTCAGAAACACATTCTAAGAAAAGCACAATGGACAAAAAACAAGTCACAAATATAACAAAGCAAAAATAGCACAAAAATGCAAGGAAACATTAAGAGAAAGAACCAAAAACTACACAAGAACAATTGAAAAATGCTATAAACTAAGGAAAACAACTAAATACATCATAGATACTCTTAGTAAAATGATCATTGGAAATACACATTTCAAACAACAAACAAGCCAAAAGAACGCAAACGAACAAAACGAGCGGTAAAAAGAGGAAATTTATGCATGGGAAAAAACAAAAAATGCAAAAATATAACAAAGCGAAAATAACTCCAAGACATTCAAGAACACATTCAAAGCAAAATGCAACAGACAAATATAACAAAGTAAAAATAACCCAAAACTACACAAGAACACTTGAAAATGCTATAAAAATTAAAGAAAACATATAATATAAATATTCAATTATAAAACGATTTATAGAACTACACAATTCTAACAAAAAATACGCAAAAAGAACACAAAACAAATGAACAGTAAAGGGGGGAAATTAATGCATGGTAAAAAAACAAGACATCCAGGAACACATTCAAAGAAAAACGCAATGGACAAAACAAGTCACAAACATAACAAACCGAAAATAGCACAAAAATGCAGGGAAAACATAAAGAGAAAGAACCAAAAACTACACAAGAACACTTGAAAACATACAAAATACGTCGAAAATACTCCATTGAAAATAAAAAGTATTTAAAAAATATAAGTGTTTGGAATGTTCATGTTGATGATTATTATTATTATCAATAACAACCAATGGTAATTAATAGAATCTAGCCCTATACAACAAACATCAAAGATAACTACCATGATCCGAATAGAAGTTCAAATTCATTAATCATAGAGAATTAATGAGAGAAGGTCATTTACCTGTTGTATTCTATATCAGATTGTAATTCCTCAAGCTCCCTATTTTTACCTCCCACTTAACCTTCACTTCAACCTGATCAATTATGTATGTAAAGCATAACATCATATACAAATACGCAATCAATTGGATTAAACAAAACACCTCTTAAGTGACCTATTCCACTACCCCTTCTTCCCGGTCCAAAACAAAACAAACACAGAAAAAATAATAACATATAAAGGGAGATAAGAAACCGAAAATTTTACCCGCTTACTCCATATACAAATACGCAATCAATTGGATTGAACAAAACACCTCTTAAGTGACCTATTCCACTACCCCTTCTTCCCGGTCCAAAACAAAACAAACACAGAAAAAATAATAACATATAAAGGGAGATAAGAAACCGAAAATTTTACCTGCTTACTCCAATCCTTCTCAACGTTCCCTTATTCCAAACAATGCTTGATGTGAATATCATCGAGCTAGGGATATACTCTGTTCTAGTTGGTAAATTGTTAGATAAAGGGAATTGAAATCCCTAATAAGCTAAAGGAGTATTCTATTTATATTGGAAGAGTGCGGAGCAACATGTTCAAAAGAATTTTAAAAGCCGATGTGATACCTTGTGGTTAGGTGCTCAGGTCAGCCCTGTTACGTGGTGGTTGACAGCAGATCTAACTTCTTACACTAACAGTGTTCAACCTCCATGGAGATATTAAACCTCTGGGAAAAGAGTGATTGAGAACAAACCTACACAATACTTGAATTTTCAGGTTAGTAAAACTGTAAAAGTGCACTATAACCCGATCACGGAGTATTAAGAGAATACAAACATAGAAGAAACTAATCATTTTTACCCTCCAAATGCTACTTTAGCCTTTAATACAACCTGATCAATTATCATATACAAATATGCAATCAACTGGATTTAAGAAAACACCTATTTAAGTGACCTATATTCCACTGCCCCTCCTTTCCCAGCCCAAAACAAAACAAACACAGAAAAATAAAAACTTATAAAGCAGGATAATAAACCGCAACATTTAACTGCTTACCCCAATCCTTCTCAACCGGAAGCTAGGGATTCTCTGTTGTAGTTGCTCAGTACAGTTTAGTGCTGGTTCCTAATGTGATGGTTGGTTAGATGGCCGATCTGACTTCTTACACTAACAACGTTCAACCTCCTTGTCTAGATATTAAACCTCTGTGACAAGAAGTGATCGAGAACAGACCTACAATACTTGAATTTTCAGGTTAGTAAAACTGCACAATGCACTATAACCCCATCACAAAGTATTATGACAAAATAAATAAATTTGTAAGAGAATACAAATAGAGAAGTTAATCATGAAGAGGAACAGTGTATAGCCAATTCTCTTGGGCCAATTAATCAATTACTTTACCAGTCAGAAGGTGGGTAATTTCTTTCTTTACATTGTAGTTTATTGCTTTATCTCTTCATGAGTCCACTTTGCCTGTCACTTTTCCTCTTTGTTGAGCATTATATCCAGCAAATGCAATCATTCGTCTCTGAAATGGGGAGAAAAAAAAAAATGCAGTGTACTCAATTAAAAGATAACCACATAACTACACAAGAGAGAGCAACTCACAAAATGGAACAAACTAATGAATGCATTTTTATCTCCCCCCAATCATAAATTCATGGCCGTAACATTTTTACCCTGCAAATCCTACTTTAGGGTGCCGCGGCATTCGTCTCTGAAATGAGGAGAAAAAAAAAATTGCAGTGTACTCAATTAACAGATAACCACACAACTACACAAGAGAGAGCAACTCACAAAATGGAACAAACTAATAACTCTATAACCCCCAATCATAGATTCATGGCCGTAACATTTTTACCCTCCAAATCCTACTTTAGGGTGCCGCGGCATTAACCTGAAATTCCATTGTCTGGAATGTTCAAGTTGATTTTTATTTTCAATAACCATTAATCATAGAGAATTAATGAGAGAAGGTCATTTACCTGTTATATTCTTATCAGTTTGTAATTCCTCAAGCTCTCTATTTTTACCTACAACTTAAACCTTCACTTCAACCTGATCAATTATGAAAGTAAAGCATAACATCATATACAAATACACAATCAATTGGATTGAACAAAACACCTCTTAAGTGACCAATTCCACTACCCCTTCTTCCCGGTCCAAAACGAAAACAAACACAACAAAAATAATAACTTATAAAGGGAGATAAGAAACCGAAAAACTTACCTGCTTACTCCAATCCTTCTCAGCCTTCCCTTATTCCAAACAATGCTTGATGTGAATATCCTCCAGCTAGGGATATACTCTGTTCTAGTCGGTAAATTGTTAGATAAATGAAATTGAAATCCCAAATAAGCTAATGGAGTATTCTATTTATATTGGAAGAGTGCGGAGCAACATGTTCAAAAGCATTTAAAAAGCCAATGTGATACCTTGTGGTTAGGTACTCAGGTCAGCCCTGTTACATGGTGGTTGCCAGTGTGATGGTTGATGGCAGATCTAACTTCTTACATTAACAGTGTTCAACCTCCATGTAGATATTAAACCGCTGTGAAAAGAGTGATTGAGAACAGACCTAGACAATACTTGAAATTTCCAGGTTAGTAAAACTGTAAAAGTGCACTATAACCCCATCACGGAGTATTAAGAGAATACAAATATAGAAGAAACTAATCATGATGAGGAACAGTGTATAGGCATTCTCTTGGGCAATTAATCAATTATTTTACCTGTCAGAAGGTGGGTAATTTCGTTCATTTTACTGCGGTTTATGGCTTCATGGCAGCAACATTTTTACCCTCGAAATCCAACTTTAGCCTTTAATACAACCTGATCAATTATATAAAGCAGAATATCATATACAAATATGCAATCAACTGGATTTAAGCAAACACCTATTTAAGTGACCTATTCCACTGCCCCTTCTTTCCCAGCCAAAAACAAAACAAACACAGAAAAATAATAACATATAAAGCAGGATAAGAAACCACAACATTTAACTGCTGGTTCCTAATGTGATGATTGGTTGAATGATGGCCGATCTAACTTCTTACACTAACAACGTTCAACCTCCTTGCCTAGATATTAAACCTCTGTGACAAGAAGTGATCGAGAACAGACCTACAATACTTGAATTTTCAGGTTAGTAAAAGTGCATAATGCACTATAACCCCCATCACGAAGTATTATGACAAAATAAATAAATTTGTAAGAGAATACAAATAGAGAAGTTAATCATGAAGAGGAACAGTGTATAGGCAATTCTCTTGGGCCAATTAATCAATTACTTTACCAGTCAGAAGGGTGGGTAATTTCTTTCTTTACATTGTAGTTTATTGCTTTATCCCTTCATGAGTCCACTTTGCCTTTCACTTTTCCTCTTTGCTGAGCTTTTTTTTTCAGCAAATGCATTCATTCGTCTCTGAAATGGGGAAAAAAAAATTACATTGTACTCAATTAAAAGATAACCACACAAGAGAGAGCAACTCACAAAATGGAACAAACTAGTGACTCTATCTCCCCCAATCATGGATTCATGGCTGCAACATTTTTACCCTCCAAATCCTACTTTAGGAAGCCGTGGCATTAACCTGAAATCCTATTGTCTGGAATGTTCAAGTTGATTTTTATTTTCAATAACCATTAATCATAGAGAATTAATGAGTGAAGTTCATTTACCTGTTATATTCTTATCAGTTTGTAGTTCCTCAAGCTCTCTATTTTTACCTACCACTTAAACCTTCACTTCAACCTGATCAATTATGTATGTAAAGCATAACATCATATGCAAATACACAATCAATTGGATTGAACAAAACACCTCTTAAGTGACCAATTCCACTACCACTTCTTCCCGGTCCAAAACGAAAACAAACACAGAAAAAATAATAACTTATAAAGGGAGATAAGAAACCGAAAAATTTACCTCCTTACTCAAATCCTTCTCAACCTTCCCTTATTCCAAACAATGCTTGATGTGAATATCCTCGAGCAAGGGAAATACTCTGTTCTTGTCGGTAAATTGTTAGATAAATGAAATTGAAATCTCTAATAAAGCTAATGGAGTATTCTATATATATTGGAAGAGTGCGGAGCAACATGTTCAAAACCATTTAAAAAGCCGATGTGATACCTTGTGGTTAGGTGCTCAGGTCAGCCCTGTTACGTGGTGGTTGCCAGTGTGATGGTTGATGGCAGATCTAACTTCTTACACTAACAGTGTTCAACCTCTGTGAATTTTCAGGCTAGTAAAACAGTAAAAGTGCACTATAACCCCATCACGAAGTATTAAGAGAATACAAATATAGAAGAAACTAATCTTTTTACCCTCCAAATGCTACTTTAGCCTTTAATACAACCTGATCAATTATATAAAGCAGAACATCATATACAAATATGCAATCAACTGGATTTACGAAAACACCTATTTAAGTGACCTATTCCACTGCCCATTCTTTCCCAGCCCAAAACAAAACAAACACAGAAAAATAATAACTTATAAAGCAGGATAAGAAACCACAACATTTAACTGCTTACCCCAATCCTTCTCAACCTCAAGCTAGGGATTCTCTGTTGTAGTTGGTCAGTACAGTTTAGTGCTGGTTCCTAATGTAATGGTTGGTTGAATGATGACCAATCTAACTTCTTACACTAACAACGTTCAACCTCCTTGTCTAGATATTAAACCTCTGTGATAAGAAGTGATCGAGAACAGACCTACAATACTTGAATTATCAGGTTAGAAAAAGTGCACAATGCACTATAACCCCCATCACGAAGTATTATGAAAAAATAAATAAATTTGTAAGAGAATAAAAATAGAGAAGTTAATCATGAAGAGGAACAGTGTATAGCCAATTCTCTTGGGCCAATTAATCAATAACTTTACCAGACAGAAGGTGGGCAATTTCTTTCTTTACATTGTAGTTTATTGCTTTATCTCTTCATGAGTCCACTTTGCCTTTCACGTTTCCTCTTTGTTGAGCTTTATTTTCAGCAAATGCATTCATTCTTCTCTGAAATGAGGAAAAAAAAAATTACAGTGTACTCAATTAAAAGATAACCACACAAGAGAGAGCAACTCACAAAATGGAAAAAACTAGTGACTATATCTCCCCAAATCATAGATTCATGGCTGCAACATTTTAACCCTCCAAATCCTACTTTAGGGTGCCGCGGCATTAACCTGAAATTCTATTGTCTGGAATGTTCAAGTTGATTTTTATTTTCAATAACCATTAATCATAGAGAACTAATGAGAGAAGGTCATTTACCTGTTAGATTCTTATCAGTTTGTAGTTCCTCAAGCTCTCTATTTTTACCTACCACTTAATCCTTCACTTCAAACCTATCAATTATGTATGTAAAGCATAACATCATATACAAATACACAATCAATTGGATTGAACAAAACACCTCTTAAGTGACCTATTCCACTACCCCTTCTTCCCGGTCCAAAACGAAAACAAACACAGAAAAAATAATAACTTATAAAGGGAGATAAGAAACCGAAAAATTTACCAGCTTACTCCAATCCTTCTCAACCTTCCCTTATTCCAAACAATGCTTGATGTGAATATCCTCGAGCTAGGGATTTACTCTGTTCTAGTCGGTAAATTGTTAGATAAATGAAACTGAAATCCCTAATAAAGCTAATGGAGTATTCAATCTATATTGGAAGAGTGCGGAGCAACATGTTCAAAAGCATTTAAAAAGCCAATGTGATACCTTGTGGTTAGGTGCCCAGGTCAGCACTGTAACGTGGTGGTTGCCAGTGTGATGGTTGATGGCAGATCTAATTTCTTACACTAACAGTGATCAACCTCCATGTTGATGGCAGATCTAATTTCTTACACTAATAGTGTTCAACCTCCATGTAGATATTAAACCTCTGTGAAAAGAGTGATCGAGAACAGACCTACACAATACTTGACTTTTCAGGTTAGTAAAACTGTAAAAGTGCACTATAACCCCATCACGGAGTATTAAGAGAATACAAATATAGAAGAAACTAATCATGATGAGGAACAGTGTATAGGCATTCTCTCGGGGCAATTAATCAATTATTTTACCTGTCAGAAGGTGGGTAAGTTCTTTCTTTACACTGCAGTTTATGGCTTCATCTTTCAATGAGTCCACTTTATCTTTCACTTAACCACACGATAGAGCAACTCACAATGGAACAAACCAGTGACTCTGCCTCCCCCAACCATAGATAGCTTCATGGCTGCAACATTTTTACCCTCCAAATCCAACTTTAGCCTTTAATACAACCTGATCAATTATATAAAGCAGAATATCATATACAAATATCTAATCAACTGGATTTAAGAAAACACCTATTTAAGTGACCTATTCCACTGCCCCTTCTTTCCCAGCCCAAAACAAAACAAACACAGAAAAATAATAACCTATAAAGCAGGATAAGAAACCACAACATTTAACTGCTTACCCCAATTCTTCTCAACCTCAAACTAGGGATTCTCTGTTGTAGTTGGTTAGTACAGTTTAGTGTTGTTTCCTAATGTGATGGATGGTTGAATGATGGCCGATCTAACTCTGTGACAACGTTAACTCTGTGATTAACTTCTCTAACAACGTTCAACCTCCTTGTCTAGATATTAAACCTCTGTGACAAGAACTGATCGAGAACAGACCTACAATACTTCAATTTTCAGGTTAGAAAAAGTGCACAATGCAACTATAACCCCCATCACGAAGAATTGTGAAAAAATAAATAAACTTGTAAGAGAATAAAAATAGAGAAGTTAATCATGAAGAGGAACAGTGTATAGCCAATTCTCTTGGGCCAAATAATCAATAACTTTACCAGTCAGAAGGTGGGTAATTTCTTTCTTTACATTGTAGTTTATTTTCAGCAAATGCATTCATTCATCTCTGAAATGGGGAAAAAAAAAAATTACAGTGTACTCAATTAAAAGATAACCACACAAGAAAGAGCAACTCACAAAATGGAACAAACTAGTGACTCTATCTCCCGCAATCATAGATTCATGGCTGCAACATTTTTACCCTCCAAATCCTACTTTAGGGTGCCGCGGCATAAACCTGAAATTCTATTGTCTGGAATGTTTAAGTTGATTTTTATTTTCAATAACCATTAATCATAGAGAACTAATGAGAGAAGGTCATTTACCAGTTATATTCTTATCAGTTTGTAGTTCCTCAAGCTCTCTATTTTTACCTACCAATTAAACCTTCACTTCAACCCTATCAATTATGTATGTAAAGCATAACATCATATACAAATACACAATCAATTGGATTGAACAAAACACCTCTTAAGTGACCAATTCCACTACCCCTTCTTCCCGGTCCAAAACGAAAACTAACACAGAAAAAATAATAACTTATAAAGGGAGATAAGAAACCGAAAAATTTACCTCCTTACTCCAATCCTTCTCAACCCTCCCTTATTCCAAACAATGCTTGATGTCAATATCCTCGAGCTAGGGATTTACTCTGTTCTAGTCGGTAAATTGTTAGATAAATGAAATTGAAATCCCTAATAAAGCTAATGGATATTCAATTTATATTGGAAGAGTGCGGAGCAACATGTTCAAAAGCATTTAAAAAGCCAATGTGATACCTTGTGGTTAGGTGCCCAGGTCAGCCCTGTTACGTGGTGGTTGCCAGTGTGATGGTTGATGGCAGATCTAATTTCTTACACTAACAGTGTTCAACCTCCATGTAGATATTAAACCTCTGTGAAAAGAGTGATCGAGAACAGACCTACACAATACTTGAATTTTCAGGTTAGTAAAACTGTAAAAGTGAACTACAACCCCATCACGGAGTATTAATAGAATACAAATATAGAAGAAACTAATCATGATGAGGAACAGTGTATAGGCATTCTCTCGGGGCAATTAATCAATTATTTTACCTGTCAGAAGGTGGGTAAGTTCTTTCTTTACACTGCAGTTTATGGCTTCATCTTTCAATGAGTCCACTTTATCTTTCACTTAACCACACGATAGAGCAACTCACAATGGAACAAACCAGTGACTCTGCCTCCCCCAACCATAGATAGCTTCATGGCTGCAACATTTTTACCCTCCAAATCCAACTTTAGCCTTTAATACAACCTGATCAATTATATAAAGCAGAATATCATATACAAATATCTAATCAACTGGATTTAAGAAAACACCTATTTAAGTGACCTATTCCACTGCCCCTTCTTTCCCAGCCCAAAACAAAACAAACACAGAAAAATAATAACCTATAAAGCAGGATAAGAAACCACAACATTTAACTGCTTACCCCAATCCTTCTCAACCTCAAGCTAGGGATTCTCTGTTGTAGTTGGTCAGTACAGTTTAGTGCCGTTTCCTAATGTGATGGTTGGTTGAATGATGGCCGATATAACTTCTTACAGTTTACAGTTTAGGGATTCTCTGTTGTAGTTGGTCAGTACAGTTTAGTGCTGTTTCCTAATGAGATGGTTGGTTGAATGATGGCCGATCTAACTTCTTACAGTAACAACGTTCAACCTCCTTTCTAGATATTAAACCTCTGTGACAAGAAGTGATCGAGAACAGACCTACAATACTTCAATTTTCAGGTTAGAAAAAGTGCACAATGCACTATAACCCCCATCACGAAGTATTATGAAAAAATAGATAAACTTGTAAGAGAATAAAAATAGAGAAGTTAATCATGAAGAGGAACAGCGTATAGGCAATTCTCTTGGGCCAATTAATCAATAACTTTACCAGTCAGAAGGTGGGTAATTTCTTTCTTTACATTGTAGTTTATTGCTTTATCTCTTCATGAGTCCACTTTGCCTTTCACGTTTCCTCTTTGTTGAGCTTTATTTTCAGCAAATGCATTCATTCATCTCTGAAATGGGGAAAAAAAAATTACAGTGTACTCAATTAAAAGATAACCACACAAGAGAGAGCAACTCACAAAATGGAACAAACTAGTGACTCTATCTCCCCCAATCATAGATTCACGGCAGCAACATTTTTACCCTCCAAATACTACTTTAGGGTGCCGCGGCATTAACCTGAAATTCTATTGTCTGGAATGTTCAAGCTGATTTTTATTTTCAATAACCGTTAATCATAGAGAACTAATGAGAGAAGGTCATTTACCTGTTATATTCTTATCAGTTTGTAGTTCCTCAAGCTCTCTATTTTTACCTACCACTTAATCCTTCACTTCAACCCTATCAATTATGTATGTAAAGCATAACATCATATACAAATACACAATCAATTGGATTGAACAAAACACCTCTTAAGCGACCTATTCCACTACCACTTCTTCCCGGTCCAAAACGAAAACTAACACAGAAAAAATAATAACTTATAAAGGGAGATAAGAAACCGAAAATTTTACCTCATTACTCCAATCCTTCTCAACCCTCACTTATTCCAAACAATGCTTGATGTCAATATCCTCGAGCTAGGGATTTACTCTGTTCTAGTCAGTAAATTGTTAGATAAATGAAATTGAAATCCCTAATAAAGCTAATGGAGTATTCAATTTATATTGGAAGAGTGCCCAGGTCAGCCCTGTTACGTGGTGGTTGCCAGTGTGATGGTTGATGGCAGATCTAATTTCTTACACTAACAGTGTTCAACCTCCATGTAGATATTAAACCTCTGTGAAAAGAGTGATCGACAACAGACCTACACAATACTTGAATTTTCAGGTTAGTAAAACTGTAAAAGTGCACTATAACCCCATCACGGTGGTTGGAAGAGTGCGGAGCAACATGTTTAAAAGCATTTAAAAAGCCAAAGTGATACCTTGCGGTTAGGTGCCCAGGTCAGCCCTGTTACGTGGTGGTTGCCAGTGTGATGGTTGATGGCAGATCTAATTTCTTACACTAACAGTGTTCAACCTCCATGTAGATATTAAACCTCTGTGAAAAGAGTGATCGAGAACAGACCTACACAATACTTGAATTTTCAGGTTAGTAAAACTGTAAAAGTGCACTATAACCCCATCACGGAGTATTAAGAGAATACAAATATAGAAGAAACTAATCATGATGAGGAACAGTGTATAGGCATTCTCTTGGGGCAATTAATCAATAATTTTACCGGTCAAAAGGTGGGTAAGTTCTTTCTTTACACTGCAGTTTATGGCTTCATCTTTCAATGAGTCCACTTTATCTTTCACTTAACCACACGATAGAGCAACTCACAATGGAACAAACCAGTGACTCTGCCTCCCCCAACCATAGATAGCTTCATGGCTGCAACACTTTTACCCTCCAAAATCAACTTTAGCCTTTATAATACAACCTGATCAATTATATAAAGCAGAATATCATATACAAATATGCAATCAACTGGATTTAAGAAAACACCTATTTAAGTGACCTATTCCACTGCCCCTTCTTTCCCAGCCAAAAACAAAACAAACACAGAAAAATAATAACCTATAAACCAGGATAAGAAACCACAACATTTAACTGCTTACCCCAATCCTTCTCAACCTCAAGCTAGGGATTCTCTGTTGTAGTTGGTCAGTACAGTTTAGTGCTGTTTCCTAATGTGATGGTTGGTTGAATGATGGCCGATCTAACTTCTTACACTAACAACGTTCAACGTCCTTGTCTAGATATTAAACCTCTGTGACAAGAAGTGATCGAGAACAGACCTACAATACTTGAATTTTCAGGTTAGAAAAAGTGCACAATGCACCCCCATCACGAAGTATTATGAAAAAATAAATAAATTTGTAAGAGAATAAAAATAGAGAAGTTAATCATGAAGAGGAACAGTGTATAGGCAATTCTCTTGGGCCAATTAATCAATAACTTTACCAGTCAGAAGGTGGGTAATTTCTTTCTTTACATTGTAGTTTATTGCTTTATCTCTTCATGAGTCCACTTTGCCTTTCACGTTTCCTCTTTGTTGAGCTTTATTGTCAGCAAATGCATTCATTCGTCTCTGAAATGGGGGGAAAAAAATTACAGTGTACTCAATTAAAAGATAACCACACAAGAGAGAGCAACTCACAAAATGGAACAAACTAGTGACTCTGTCTCCCCCAATCATAGATTCATAGCTGCAACATTTTTACCCTCCAAATCCTACTTTAGGGTGCCGGCATTAACCTTAAATTCCATTGTCTGGAATGTTCAAGTTGATTTTTATTTTCAATAACAACCAATGGTAATTAATAGAGCAACCGAACAAAGAATCTGGCACTCTGCAATAAACATCAAAGGTGCCATGATCCTACCGAAGAGAAGTTCAAATTCATTAATCAAAGAGCACCAATAAGAGAAGGTCATTTACCTGTTAATTTCCTATTAGTTTCACTGTTCAATTCTTCAAGTTCTTTATTTTCTACCTTCCACTTAGCCTTTAATACAACCTGATCAATTATATAAAGCATAACATCATATACAAATACACAATCAACTGGATTTAAGAGAACACGTATTTAAACCTATTCCACTGCCCCTTCTTTCCCAGCCCAAAACAAAACAAACACAGAAAAAATAATAACTTATAAAGAGGGATAAGAAACCATAACATTTACCTGCTTACTCCAATCCTTCTCAACCACAAGCTAGGGATACTCTGTTCTAGTTAGTACAATGTTAGATAAATGAAAACTAAAAATTTAAATAAATAAATAACCTGTACTGTTTCTGCTAAAACCTTTACAGTCACCAGAGTCAAAAAATCTTGCTGTCAATCTGCAAAAATCACCAGTAAAACTAGAACAAATTATACAATCTCATAGGGACATATTTATACAAAGCATAACATCATATACAAATATACAATCAACTAGAATGAAGAAATAAACACAGGAAAATAATAAATTATGAAGGGAGATAAGAAACAACAAAGTTTACCTGCTTACCCCAATCCTTCTCAACCTTTCCTTATTCCAGACAATGCTTGAATGATGGCAGATCTAACATCTTACACTGTGAAAATTTAAATAAATCAATAAACTGTACTGTTTCTGCTTAAACCTTTACTGTCACCAGAGTCAAAAAAATTTGCTGTCAATCTCCAAAAATCACCAGTAAAACTAGAACAAATTATACAATCTCATAGGGACATATTTATACAAAGCATAACATCATATACAAACATACAATCAACTAGAATGAAGAAATAAACACAGGAAAATAATAAATTATGAAGGGAGATAAGAAACCACAAAATTTACCTACTTACCCCAATCCTTCTCAACCTTTCCTTATTCCAGACAATGCTTGAATGATGGCAGATCTAACATCTTACACTAACAGTGTTGAACCTCCTTGCCATGATAGTAAACCTATGTGACAAGAAGTGATGGAGAACAAACCTATAATACTTGAACTATCATGTTAGTAAAACTGTAAAAGTGCCATATAACCTGTTACGAAGTATTATGACAAAATAAAATAAATTTGTAACAGAATACAAATAGAGAAGAAGTTAACCATGCCGAGGAACAGTGTATAGGCAATCTCTTGGGCCAATTCATCAATTATTTTAGAAGGTGGGTAATTTCTTTCTTTACACTGTAGTTTAGGCCTTATCTTTTAATGAGTCTACTTTACCTTTTCCCTTCTCTTTTTTGATCTTTTTTTCCACAAACGCATTCATATGTCTCAGAAAGATAACCATACAAGAGAGAGCAACTTACAATGGAATAAATCAGTGACTTTGCCTCCCCAATCATAGCTTCATGGCTGCAACTTTTTTACCCTCCAAATCCTACTTTAGGGGCCGGCATTAACCTGAAATTTGACGTCCACCGGTCCCGTTTCCGGCGGAAGGCGGATTGGCGCGGTATAGAGTGTTCGAGACGGAGAGAATTTTGAGGGGTGAGAGTGAACGACGAAAAAACAAAGAAATAGGAAATTTAAACTGCTTGGAAATAGGAAAACCTAAATAGGAATTTCATTAACCTGAAATTCGACGTACCGTTTCCGGCGGAAGGCGGATTGGCGTACCGTTTCCGGCGCAGGAGACTGGGAGAGAGTGTTTTTTCTTTGAGTACGGAGACTGGGACAGAGTGCTTGAGCCGGAGAGAACGCCGAAAAAACAACAAAGAAATTTAAACCTAAACTGCTTTAGAAATAGGAAACCATAAACTTAAAAATTACAACGGCAAGAAAATTACAACGGCAAAAAAAAATTGTGCTGATTAAAAATTGAAATCTTAAAAATAAATAGTCGGTCAGTCCTTTATTTTAATATTTTATTTAAACATTTTGACTCACAAAATTATTTGTGTTGTTTTCGCAAAGACATAAATAAAGTTTTTTTAAAACAAATAAAATAAATGGACTGACTCCCTCCCCGTTGAAGGAATTTAAAATTTATTTATTTTTAAATTTCTAATAGCCCAATTTTTCTTCTAAAACATAATTCCCTTTTTTTTTCAATGTCTTTCATTTATTTATATTTATTTATTACTATTATAGGAATATTTTGGGTAAAAAAAATATATACACACACAAATATAAGTCATGTCTTACCCATAACCCAACAAAATTAATAAGTTTTTATGTTCACAGTTTATTTAGTTCGGCCGGATCACGCTATACCAGATAATAAACATTAGGACTATTGCAGAGTGCAAATCCATAGTCTCTTTTCTAAATGTTTTTTTTTTAAATTGAGCCAAATAATAATGGATTGTTCGGTAGACATGAACTGCATTGCAATTTCACCATAAATTTTTGTCATTCTAATTACAATATTTTGTTGGAGGGAATTGCAATTTCAATTCCCTCATATTGTTGAATTGCAATTTATGAGGTACCCCAATGAATTGCAATTCATGGGGTACCCCACTGAATTGTAATTCACACCCCGTTTGATTGGATGTAATTTCATCGTTGTTGCATTGCAATTAGTTTCTTCATTCAATTACGTTGTTTTGGTTGGCCTGGAACGAATTGTAATTCTACCAAATTGTAATTCATGACCCATTCTAATTCAGCAATGGAATGGGAGAAATATATTGTTGCGAAGATTGTATTACCCATTGTCTTTATTATTTTCATCCACTCGCTCATTTGTTCTCTTTCACAATACACCACTAGTACGCAATTGCAGGCTTTGCTCTTTCGTCTTATTATATCCTTCCATAGTTGCTTTCATGTTGTACTCAAGTTATAAACCACAAACAAACCCATCATTATTAGTAGTAGTAATACATAAGGGCATTTCAGAAATTGTATAACTTCTTCAATTTTAATTCATTGTAATCATAGTCTTGCTGCATACCAAACACTCTAATTAAAATTCCAAATTTATTATGACATTAATCTTTTCCCACCGAATTATAATTCATTTTTCTCATAATTATTTAATTTCAAGCGGGAAAGAAAAAATAGATTAAATGACACTATAATCCTTGTTTTTTTTTAATTATTATTATTACACAATTACACAATGCTATTTAAGTCCTTTTATACCACTTGTTTACTTCTCAATCTCAATAAATATATTTCTCAATGCAAAACAACGTAATTTGAATTTCTAATTTATTCCACCTTATTTATTTCACACTAA